GGATGAGTAATTAATGACAGAATTTTCATTTTTGGGTGAACTAACCCTTTAATGCGCTCACATCTCATTCAAAAAGATACTCCCGTAGCATGACGCAATCGGTCACGAGACACACAAGTGCCAATAACATTTCACAACCAAGGCTGACGTAAGGCTTCTTTCATTTTTTTAATATGCGCTGCGCACAGACTACAGCACACAGGATGAGCTTTACGGCGGACGGAAACGGCGATCGTGTCTATTCCTCTCACAAATCAATCGTTTTGCCTCGGAAGACTTGGTATATTAATACTTTTTTAATAAATTATGACTGTAGTTGTATCTGCCTGTTATATCTTGTGTTTTATTGACAAATGGTAGGTTTAGGCTGTGTTTTCGGATTACCCTTTTTGTCTTGCTGTTTCGGACTCTGTTTGCCCCTGCCTGGATTATTGCTATGTACCTGGATTATCTCTCTTTGCCTTGCCCTGTTGGATATTGTTCACCGTCGATCGACCCACACCTGTTTAAAGGGTCCTGACCAAGCGTCAATATGTGACGAGTTGGGAGTGAGAATGTTACATTTTGTTATATTTGCATAATAATGCCGCAATGAAGCAAAACCATGCGAAATTGTGCTTTTGAAGAATGTTTCAACTAATAGAGCCATCAAGATATATAAACTAACATATTTCATGCACATAATTCAGGCTACAGACAGCTTGTCATGAGATTTACTGCATTCTCAGCTGCATGCAGTGGGATAACACAGGGGAAGTGCTTCAGCCAACCACCAAATCACACTATGTGAAGTGTCAACAATCGGAAACATGGTTGATATACAAATTTTCCATTCAGACAGTTGATTATCATAGACCAGTGGTTCTCAAACCTCTCCATGAAGTACCCCCAGCACTGTGCAGTTTGTATGTCTCCCTATATCGGTGCAATACGCAACGCAACGCGTAAAACACAGTATAAGTCATTATAATCAGTAATTCTGTCCCCACTGGATGCAACAAATGCCTCGTTTGTAATGGGTTTTATTGGTTTTGTCTCGTCGCGCCGGGACACACGGAAACACAGCATGGTAGGGGCGTAACATTTCCGTCACACGCTTCAGGTATTCAGCCAATCACAATGCACTGGATAGCTGGCCAATCACAGCACACCTCGCTTTTCAGACCGATGAGCTTTGTAAAAATCGACGCGTTTCAGAAAGGCGGGGCATAGAGGAGAAACAATAATGTACATTATGTGTAAAATAATGTGTTTTTTTAACCTTAAACCGCATAAACACATTGCATTGCACATTGCAAATACACAAAATAATGTTCTTTTTAGACCCCTTTAAGCACCTTTATTTTTAAGAGTGCATGTCTATTAAGTGATCCACAAATCCAATTGTGTAATAAATATTTGTACATATACAAAACTGTCAAGCCTGTTTACGTTCACTTACATTAAAGATTAAGAACATTACCAATGAGGTAAAAGTGGTGAAAGCCAACAAACAAAGTTTATCTAGTTTTTGCAAGGCAGGAAACCAGATGCAGGAAAGGAAATCTAAACCTGATGTCTGCCTTTTTGAAATTCACACGGTGAGATATGTTTCTTGGTATGGTCTTTGGTAGCCATAAGTATCTTTGAACATTACTTGTTCCTTAATCTACAATATCATACAAGCAATCTCAGATTTCTCTAGAAAATGTATAAATTGTGCAAGAACCATTTGTCTGTTTGTATCAATTTGTAGTTCAGTGTAAGGTTTGACAGCTGTTGTGTTTCTGATTATACAGGTGCTCGACAAATTTAACAACAGTCATTTTACTCGTTACCTTTGTGGGGATGTAAAAAATAATGTATTTTTGGAAGACCAGTAATGCCAACTTGATTTGCTTTTCAGCCAGCACTGATATTGTGTCACGGTTACCATGTTCTAAACACACAAACGACGAAGATGAAGGTAAACAGTCCTTAACCCCTTAAAGTCTCTTGTGACCACTTGTCAAATTTTGTTGAGGGAAAGGATTCTGATGTCACCACATACACATTATTGACAATATGTCACGGTTTTGGTTAGTTTGGACTGAGTTTGTATTGTTTTCTCTGAGTTGTTGTCATGGCTTCTGATTTAAGATCATCATTGTGTTCAAGTGTGTCTTGTTTATTATCCTCATTTGGTCTGTGTACTTAAGTTTCTGTCTGTTCAGTTAAGAGTTTGTCAGGTCTTGAACGTCCGTTTGTTACAACCTTCTCTCTATGTGGATTTATCCATCTGTGGATTTATTAAACAAGGTATAAATGGGCATCTGTGATTGGATCACCCAGATATCTGGTGTGAACAGGGCCTTTCTTAAGTGAATTGTTTAGGAGATGTTTGGAACAGAGATGCTTATTGAGTGTTATTGGCTTTAGAGCTATTTGTCATTCCAAGAATCCCTGATGCAGTGTTGCCGTTTTATTAGATTTCATGTGGTGAGGGGTGTTAGTTAATTACATCTTTAGAGTTCGTGCCAATGTTTTCTGCTTTTCAGCATCTCTTTGTTGCATTGTCCTCGCTCCAGGCAACACTGAACACAGAGCGACCCGTCTGACTCGTGAACAAATTACTCTTTATGAGTTCATCTAAACAAATTTTAAACCGATTTTCATTTAACTTATGAGTTATTGGCTTGAATTGATGATATATGCTGGATTTCTCCAATCGTTTCATCCTCATTTAAACAGCTTCTTTTACAATCGACTGCAATCTCGCATTCATATCTGCCATTAAATCAACAACCCGTCATTTTTATTTTATTTTTTTTTCCGTAATCTGTTTCACTCGGGTTCACGTCAATTACATTGTGACTTTAAAATGAACAATCACTATAATATTATATTGCTATCAGATCACTGACATTAAAATAGAAACAAATTGGCAAAGGTTCTGAAAGCTTTTTAAATTTAGTATATAATTTAATATAGGCCTAGTTAGTATAATTTAGAATATAACAGAGTTTCTGGTAACAAAAATCCAAGAATGCTATGTTTTCAATAATTTGGGCTTATATACTTGTTCAAATCATTTAGCTGACCTAGACTTGTCAAAAGATAGGCTGTAAGTGAAAAAAAAAAATCATATGCGTACGAGAAGTTAGAAATACTTGATTTTTTCCAATCATATACTTTACCTGCCAAGTCAATTATATGTAATTAATATGTAATAATTGTTTATCTTACAATAAAAACATTGCATGTGTACTTCTCATAATGTTATATAAAAAGGAAATAGGACATCGGGGAGTAACCGTGGAAATCTCACGGCTGATGGAGCTGTTTACTTTTATGCTTCGCTTTCAATCACGTCCGCGCGTATCGTTTCTTGGAATCTGTATTTAGTGCTTGTAAGCAAAGAGCCGATCTGACGTCAGGCTTCGACTCACATAGCAGCAGACTGATCCCTAAACACCCCCCCACATTCACCCAAAACACAAAGCAGTCCCTTTTCTCCGTCTCAAGCTGCTGGTCTTTGAGTCTTCGAGAAGCTGAAGCGAAACACATGCACCTCAAGCAAACTGGAAATCTAACGCAGTTGACTGCAGTCGTGCAGGCGTTCTGCGGTCGGACCATGGACGCGCGGAGGGAGCACTTCCATTACACAGACGCCGTCGAGCAGATTTGAAAGGCATCGGCCGAGATGCACCGTGGCTGCTGTTACCAAGCGCCGATCTATAGTGATACCGGCCGGGTTTTATCATGGTTTTCAGACGGTCAGCTCGGTAAGTGTGTCAGGCTCAGAGCGGCGACTGCTGTGATTTAAGACAGCGGCTTTCTGTCTTTGAGCGAATTCTGCAACACCCTTTTAGCAAGACAAGGCAAGCGTATTGAAACAGGCCATTTTTGCATCTCGTCTGCCTGTTTACCTTTCCTCTATAGCCGTTTTTAATGCAAACTTAGTTTGCAAAAGCATTAGACAAAAGTCTGTTCGTTTTGATCAAAGCCTGTGTGGCAGAGAGTCTAGGTTGCTGATAGAGGCATCAGGCATGGAAAGAGTTTCTGATAACAGCCTTCAATCTTTTTGTGTGTTTATTATATATGTGGATTTGATCTGACAACAGATACACCTGTCTGTTTGTCTCTTCTGTTTTCCTGTCATATCACTTGTCTTCCATTTTCAGACACTAATCTTTTTCATAATGTGCCTTTTGTGTTTCCAGTTATGGCTTCTCCTTTCTTGCACATTTCACACTTCACATGCTCATATTCTTCTCCTTTAATGTCCTATTGTTGGTCTTTTATGATTTCATGCTTTATTAATGAACATCTCACTCTCTTTCTGTGCTGCACAATTTCACAACTGAGGCTAACCCTCCTTCTCTTGGTCATAGGAGAATGCGGTGGCTGGGATGTTATCGTTTGGGGACCGTATGGAAAGCACTTCTGGTATTTGTTGTCATCGGATTTGCGGGACAACTTCTGGGAGTCATCTTCAACAAGAGGTAAGAAAATGCAGTCATTCTTATCTTCATTCCTTTGTCTTGTTATCTTGTACTGCATTCTTATACAGCACATGCTTGGTTACATATTTTTATCAATTAACTCCCAATGTTAAGAAATAATGTTGCTTAAATGTTTCTGGATTATTTCCAGTTGAAAAAAACGTAATATAACTTAATATGAACTTAATAATGCTTTAGTAACCCACTGTAAAAAAACATTTGTGGCTGGCTTTTTTGAGAAAGAAATTCAGTTCTCACCTAAACAGTTTACCACCCCCACAGACCTGTATAACGTCTGTTATCATTTACTAATTTTAATGCTGCTCCAAACCTGTAAGACTTAATTCTTTCTGTGGAAAACGTTACACAAGTGAAGATAGTTTGAAAAGTAAGTCATACAGGTTTGAATTTATCCCTTTAAACTATCCCTTTAAGAAATATAATTTAAAGGGGTCATATGATGCGATTTCAATTTTTCCTTTCTCTTTGGAGTGTAAGGACGCCCCCACATACCTACGTCACTATCTGGGAAGATTTACATAACGCCGCTCAAATGTTCACGCAAAGAAAGAAGGCGTAACTTTTAATCTCACTGTAGTATTGTTGCGGCCGACGCCATGTCGTGAAGGCGCTGTGTGCTTCGTTGTGAAAGCGAAACTACTTTGTTTGGTTTTCCAAAAGAGGACGATATCCGCTTCGTCATGCCTAGAGCTGATCTGTGCTGGTCGCTGAGGGAATACTAGTGTTACAAATATGATACATAATTTTAAGTCAACTAAATCCAACCAGAAAGAAATCTGCCGACTACTGGTTGAATGTACCTTAAGTTTGACAGCATAGTTCTTCTCCCATCCTCGGACAGTGACTGACATTCTCTCCAGAAACTCCCCTAAAAAATTCAGAATATCCCCTCTTGTATCCCGCAGCTGTAGACAAACCATACGATCAATACTTTTATAACATAATAATTAAATGTGTCAGGAAGATTTACCATATATCATTACTAGAATATGCCTGTAAACACCTCTTACCGTTTCATCAGAGAGAGACTTTCTGAGAAAACTAAGCAATCCCTCTTCCTTTGCAAAAAGCAAAGATGTCCATAAAACTGAAAATGAAATGCATTAGAAAACATTTCAAGATCAACTGTCATCAGGCTGAATAAGACAATTGAAAAGGCAGACTCGGTGATCGGGGTTGGCCTTGAACCACTAAAGGTGGTAGTTAAGTGGAGGATGATGGAGAGGCAGTTTTAACATTAAGTGACATGACATCCTGACGCACAGATGCCATTGGCACATGCCGCTATGCTCAGTGACACTTCCGGTGGCACTTCCGGTTTTCAGTGGCATGTGTCAGTGGACAGTGGCATGTGTCACTAAAACCTGTGACACATGTCAATGGACTGCGTCTTGTGTCAGTTGCCGCGGTGCATGTCGCACCTTCGGTAGTGACTGACACCTGCCGCTGGGTGTCGATTGCGTGACACACGCACTTAATGGCAGAACGATATTGAATTAATTAACAGTATGTTGCTGTTAGGGCTGGACGATATGGCCAAAATTGATATCACGGTATATTTCTTAACGCAGTTCCTGTTTTGTGCAATGCATTCAAATACCTAAATACGCGTTTTTTCATTTTTGCATAGATTTGACAGTTCAGCTGTATCATTTGTAATTATAAAATAATATAGAGACTATGCAGAGGCCATAACAAAAAAAAAAAAAAAGAAACGTTTTAATCAAATGTGCCACCACTAACTGATACTTGCCAATCAGGAATTAGCCTACATATAAATATAAACTGATGAGAAAATGCCACAAACCATTATGATGTCTACTATTCTAACGTGCTTTATGAAACTTACACCAACCATTCAGAAGTGTGCTTGACCTTGACACAGGCTTTTCACAACGCAATGTAGGCTAATGTAAGTCTGTAATGTAATGTAAGTCTGCAACGTAATGTAAATCTATGCTATATTAAACAAAGTTTGTACTTATTAACGTGTCTGCAGAAAGTCAAATGCTTTGACAAAACATTCAGGCATCTCCAGAAGAAATGCATGCTCATACTAATACAGGTGCATTTCAATAAATTAGAATGTCGTGGAAAAGTTCATTTATTTCAGTAATTCAATGTTATTTTTAGCAGCATCATATGACCCCTTTAACTAGTCAAGAGTACTATTTGTTATGGTATTCTTGTTTTATTTATTCTAATAATATATAATGTGCCTCTCAGCAATTATAAGTGATGATATGCATATCACATTCTCAGAATATCACTGAATTCATTATTTGAGGCTAATCTATTCTCAGCCATTCTCTTTGAAGTTGTTTATTCTCTACTTCCTTAATCACTTTATCCCAATTATCACTCTTGTTTAATTATCTGTAACCTGGTAGGCCTTTTTGTCTTGTTTAATTTCTTTTGTTCATTTCACTCTCCATCTTGTCATTTTTCTTAGTATATCAAGTGGAACGGGAGATTCGTTTTTGTTCTGGTTATAATTTTTACATCATAATTTGTTCTTTCTCCACATTAGCTGGATGCAGCCAGAGAGACCTCACTCCGTCTACGCTCTTCCCTCTGAGAATTCCCAAGGGGACTCTCTGGGGTCTTGCCAGCCCCACACCCACATCATGTTCCTGAAGACTCACAAGACGGCAAGCAGCACCGTTCTCAATTTGCTCTATCGCTTTGGAGAGGAGCGGGGCCTTAAATTTGCCCTTCCTGTGGGGTACCAATTTGGCTACCCACTGCCCTTTATCGCCCAGAGGGTGAAAGGATACAGAGGCCCTCATGTGGCAGAATTTGACATTATGGGAAATCATATGCGGTTCAACAAACCAGAGGTACATCACATGATAGCTGGCATTTTCTCAAAAAGATCTGTTGAAAATCACTTTTGATAAATTATTTAGGGGTCCTAGCAATAAAATCGATTTACTTCTTTAGTATTAATCTTGTTTTTCTGGTGTAAATCAGTTTGAGCATCAAAAAGCATAAATTGCAAAAACACTCCAACCAAGTATATTTATGTTTTCATTAATTATAAATACCAAATAATCATGCAAGTTATTTTATAATCAGATTCTTTTGGTTGATGCATCTTTATTTTCTTTAAACAGAAACCTAAGCAGAAAAACAAGAAATCTCCTATGAACATTTACATTCAATATTTGATTTCAGGTACATGATTAAAGATGATTCTTTTTGTAATGTGATTCTCTTTTTTACTTTCGTTGCAGGTTGAGAAGGTCATGCCAGCTGACACCTTCTATTTCTCCATCCTTCGAGACCCTGTGGCGCTAGCTGAATCCTCCTATGCCTACTATAAAAATGTTGCCCCTGCCTTCAGGCGTGCCAAAGGACTGGGTGATTTTGCAGACAACCCCTATAAGTACTACGACCCCAGACTCCGAAACAACCATTATGCCCGCAACCTGATGTGGTTTGATTTTGGTCTGGATCATACCTCCAACTTCAGCCTCGGGCTGGTCAAGCGCGGTGTGGCAGCAGTGCGTCGGAACTTCAAGCTCATCCTTATCTCAGAGTACTTCGACCAATCTATGGTGCTGCTCCGTCACGCTCTTTGCTGGCCGCTAGATGCTGTGGTTTCTTTTAGCCTGAACGCCAGGCAGCAAATGCCCAGTGGAAGATCAGGATGGGTGGTCAAGGCTGCAGCTCCAGCTCCTTTGGCATTAACAGACAAGCAAAGATCGAAATTACGTGAATGGAATGCACTAGACTGGCACCTTTACCAAGCTTTTAATCTCACTTTTTGGCAGGACGTAGAGCGCTTCGGGCGTAGTAGGATGGAGTCTGAGGTGGCCCTGCTTAGGACCAAACGGGAGGTTCTCACTCGCATCTGCTTGTGTGATGGCGGCCGCCCCATAGAGGCCAGTCGCATCCGGGACAAGACCATCCGCCCTTTCCAGAGCGGATTAGTGAAGATCTTGGGTTACGAGTTGCAGTCGGGACTAGACAACGCCACGTGGGAAGCTTGCCTACGCATGATCAGGCCTGAGATCCAATACAAAGACTTGCTGGATCTTCGGCAGTTCCCTCGAGCCCAGCAACCCCCAGCCGCTGCCGCTGGAGGGCTTCCACTAAAGAGGGAGCCCTCAATACTCAGGACTGAAGACCATGGGGGAAAGAGGTTGGTGGAGAAGGACTGGGATGGGACCATTCTGTTTCGGAATCAATCATTAGAGCAGGTTGATTCAAAAGTAAGACTTAGATAGTGAGCTAGTTGCACCTTTTTGCCTCAAGGTCAGTAGTTCTGACCCATTTTGGCTCGACGGGCCTCTGTGCTGCACTACTAGAGGAGAAGGGATATCCAAGACATACAACACACTACTTTATCATCGATTCTTCCTTCCTCCATCTTGCCCTTCTACACTCTTATTTTATACAACATGGAGTTTCAGAGTGAAGAAGAGGTCTGTGAGTACATTGCATTGGTTGGGGTGATATAATGGTACATGCATGCCATATGGAGGCTAAATGCACAGACTCACTGTCGTGAGTTTGATATTGGGGAGAAGTGAGAAAATGCTGCTTCCCTGTCCATGATGAATCCAAGGTATGTTACAAAAAATTTAGCAGTGAGTGCACGTTATGTAAGTGGTTGCAGTGTTTCAAACATACTGCTAAAAGCCCACTTTTAAATAGGTAAAGTATCTTTGATACGTTAGCGTTCAAAAGTTTGGGGTCAATAAAATTCTTTTTGAAAGAGCTTAATAATTTCATTCGGCAGGGATGCATTAAATTAATAAGTGACAGTAAAGACATTCATTATGATATAAAATATTTCTATTTCAAATAAAATAAGTTCTTTTGAACTCAAAGAATCTTGGAAAAAATGTTCATATGAAATTGAAAACTGGAGTAATAACTACTGAAAGCTCAGCTTTGCCATTGCAGGAATGGCACATTCACATAACTGTTTTACTGTATTTTTGATCAAATAAATGCATCCTTTGTGAAAACAAGACATTAAAAAAGTATTGCCAATCCCAAACTTCTAAATGGTAATGCTGGTGTACATCCAGTGTCACTACCAAAAAGGTAGGCTTGTGCATCCATTGAAATAACAGTTTGATATTGGAAATGCATTTGAATTTGATTATAGTACTAAGACACGATGGATATCCATTTGCTGCATGATGAAATTCAACAAAAGTGCAATCACAGACCCTTCATTGTCTGGCACAAGATTCAAACAGTGGTACTGTTCAGAGTTGCTGGAATTTAATTTTATATCCATTTATATGGGTAATTGCTCAACAGGAATCTTGACAGTGTTTTTAAGAGGAATTCATTGCAAAGTTTTGATTTCTATGCCACACACATTTTTAGTGACACATTATAAGCTAATACGGCTCCCATGGTTCTGTGAGAACAACATCTCCAGTTTTTAACACTGTGAAATAATATGACCATTCATAAAGGGCAAAATGGGCTGTAGATTTGTATTTATTAACCTTAAGTGATTGGCCATTGCACTTCTTATAACAGTCTGTTTACTTATTGATGTTTGCCAGAGGTTGATATTTTAGCTTTTTATTTTGATGTTCAAATCATCAAATCAAAAAAAAAAAAAAAAAAAAATCATTAGATGGTAAAAAAACCTGACCTTGAAAA